GCCGGGCCATGCGGGGACTGACCGCCGTCACCTGTTTCCCTCTCCGCCCGTAGATCGCCCCTGGGGACTCTTCGCGGGGGGCACGCCGCCCCCGGGAGCCAGCCGACTGCAACGCCGGGGACGCAGCATGGGCTGGCTGGGCCGGATCGCCGTGCTGCTACTGGGAGTCCTGCTGCCCGCCCAGAGAGCCGCCGGCCAGCAGCAGGGCGGGAGCAACGTGCCGCGCCTCAAGCTGACCTACAAAGGTAAGGCTGGCCCCGCGCTGGGCGGACTGGGGAGATCGGGGTTGCCGGCAGAGACAAAGGAAAGAGTTCGTCGACGCTGGCCCCCGAGGCGGGGGGGGGGGGGGGGGGCAGGGGGGGGAGCGCTCGACAGGCAGCAGGCGGCCAGCGTTTACGGAGGGGGCTCTGTTTGTGCGCGAGCGTTTCCAGACGTACATCTGCACCGTTCGCCGGAATACTTCTGCACCCTCCTGTGTCTGTGTGACGAGGACGGCCTCCCTCGCGATTCGGGCTTCTGACAGCACGAAAGAGTTAATTCTGCCATCATGAATATTCAAACAATACTAGTCTGACAGTCGGATGCCTGATAGAAGCAGGAGAGCGGGGGGGGGGGGGCTTGCCAAGAAATCTGGGAAGTGTAAAGGAAGAGAGAGGGGCTCCGGGAGAAAGACGGCGGAGGAGGAGGAGGGGGGCGGAATATAGCGCTCGCCTGCACTTGAGGCACTGCAAGTATTTCTGCCTGATCTGTGCACGTTGTCTACATAAGCTTAGCTCGTGCTGAAAGTCTTGGCGGGGAGAGAGAACTTGCGGGTTGCGAGGAGCGGTGCGGAAACGGCAGAGCAGCATCTCGCCAACATTCTCAGCAGTTCACTGGCTGCAACCTGGCCTCTCTCATCAGTTCGAACTGTGGGGGCACACCCACTCCAGGCTTCTTCCAGCACTTTGAAAGCACGCAAAGTCTATACAGTATAGTTCGGTATTATGTGTTTGTGGTATATGAAAAAAGCCAGGGTCACGTTTTAAAAATCCACCTTAAAAAACAAACAAAAAAGAACTTTTGGAGTATTCTGGTTTAAGACGTGAACAAGTAACAAAGCTGATTTTCCCTGCTGTAGGAAAGAGAAGGAACATGTGTTTGTGGTCAGAGATGTCAGCCCCTTTGCAGAGAGTATCATGTCTGCACAGCTTATGTTGTGCCAGGAAAAAAAAAAAGGATCTTTCCTTTTAAAAAGTCTGTTTCCATGCTAGGGAGGATTCTTGTTTTTATTGGCAGGAGTTTAAAAGCAAAAAACCCAACCTGCTAGGCTCTGATACTAATTAAGTTGCTCAGGCTGTTTACATGGGGGTAGCTCAGTTGATGTGCGTAAAGATACTTTGAAGTAAAGGATGTGAGAATGAACATGTTAACTGTCCAGGCAGACATTCGTTATACTTTGCTAGGTAAATTAAGCACCCATTTGAACGTTCCTGCAGTCTGATGTAATTGTGAAATCAATGAACCCTTTCTAAAATAGGCATACAGTGTGTGTGTAAACAACTCTTTCTAGAAAATGCTAATGAATTTGTCACGAGGAGATTACTGAATACTTGATATAAATGCAAGTGAACTAACTCACTTTTGATGGCTAGTATAAGGTGCTACTGCACCAATTTATTGGGTCCCCTAAATGGATATTTAATTGTTTGTGATCCAGTTTACTTTCATGTTTCTGTTAAAACATAGTTACAGTAAGGGGGGTTCAGTAGGTGGTTTACAACATTCTTTTAAAATGAATAATGGTTAATTAGTAGCAGTGGACTATTTTTAACTCCCTGAAAGTTAAGTGAAGCCTTCATTTTAACACCACTCCCCATAAGGAATTATCATTATGCATTCCATGCTTAATGCATCACTGATGTGGCTGGGTGCAGAGTGAGATATTAAGGCAGTATTGCTGTATTGTTTCTGTACATTGTGTTGTTTTCATTGACTTGGTACCTGTAGGCTATTTATTCAGTCTTGGGTATCAAAATGGGCACCAAAAATTGCAAAGCACTGCATATCTTTCTTGGGCTCAATCGGATTTACATCCAATTAAGTATGCAGCGCAAGTGCTCTTTTTAGTGTGATTTACCTCATTTATAGCCCAGCCTTCTGAAGAATTCAAGATGGTGTACATAGTCTCTATTATTCTATAAAACAACTCTGTGGGGAAGACTATACTGAGGTAACAAATTTTGAAATGTCATCCAGTGTATTTCATGGTGGACCAGGTATTTTGTACACAGGCCCCCGTAGTCCAAATCCAGCACTGTTTACTCCACCATGCCGATGCAGAATTTTTCTGTGATTAAAACTAAGACAGCTAGCAGAAGAAGAAGAATGTTAATGATCCAAGCCTCATGTTTTGATTTAATGAAGTATTTGAGCCCAAGCTTAAAATTAAACTTATGAATCATAGATAATGTCAGTGGAACACTTGAAACACTTGCAGTGCCCTTTAAACATACTAACTAAATGCTTGTTCCTACTAATTCTGACACTGTTCACTCTACACCACATGGATTTTGCTTAGCAGAGAGTTCTTGGATGATCAGATTGGTGGCAACCAATGGTCCCTAAACTGTGGAGTCTTGTGAGCAAAACTTCTACTTTGCAAGCTATTGGCATTATAGTTGTGAGCAACCAATTTTGCTACTGTATAAATTAGTTTGCTCTGGAGCCATACTTCCTGAGCTAAGTCAAAAATCTGTGAGCCGGAAGCTAAAGAAACTGTGAGCTAGCTCACACTAACTCAGTTTAGAGGGACACTGGTAATCTGAGTTCAGGATGTATTCTTGTGATACCAACACAAGTCATAAATATCATGTTACTGAGGAACATGGGAGAATAAAGAAGCTAAACTAATAAAGCTTTGGATAATTAATTGCCCTTCTAATAGCTCCTGCTGTGAATATTTCCTCAATGAAAGGAGCACAGGGATCATTTGAAGAGCTCTTGGCGCATTAATAGGGAAATGTTATTCAGCAGCAGATTCATATGCCCCAAACATCATAGTAGGTTTTCCAGGATGGCACCACAAGGCATTTCATGCGTTTGGGACCAACTCTGTATTAAAAAAAAAAAAAGCTATTTCAAAAATGCAAACATCACTTGTGGACTATTTGGTGAGTCTTTTTCAGGTGTAGGATTACTCTTGATCAAAATGAACTGTGGAATGAACACAAACATCCCCCCCCCCATTTTACCGACCAGTGCCTTTTTTGATTTGGCATGTGTGCAGCTGGGATTTTGTGCCAAAGAAAAACTTTGTAGTCAATTGTTAGTAGTTGTTACTAAATAATTGTTAATAAAAATAGTAGTGATTTTAGTGACTAATTATATGAGTCAAGTACAATTAAAATAGAAAAAAGCTGGTGATTTTTTTTAGAAGATTCATGAAAGTTTAAATCCCTGTCAACCTTAATTTCCTTTTGGTTACTGGCTCTCAAATGGGTGCTGTTACTCCACTGTTTCTCAGGTTGCCTAATAGACCTTGTCTGTGACCTTGCTTCTTCTTCTTTTTAAATATCCTTGTAACTTTCTGTTCTGTACACATTTATGTCATATTGAAATCATCTTTTGGGTAGAGAGAGGGTGATAAAACAATGGTGAGCAACATGGAAGTTCCAAGCAACTGAATTTTTGGGGTAATCAGGAATCAAAGAACCATGAAAGTATTTTAACCTTTTATTTGTCAAAAGGCAGCCCCCACCCCCATGGCTATTGGAATAGAATTATGGGAGGTTGTTTTGTACACAACCATGCCACCTTCTTTACAACCTGTCTATGAACATAATCTATTCACAGAAAGCATGGAAGTTGTGGGAAGCCTGGGGGGCAGGCAGCTTCCCTCTCCTAGTCATGATGTTATGGTACAATCTAGTTCTTCATGTCTTCTGGTTTCCATGTTTACAGCCCCCTCCTTCTCCTAGGTGGTTATGACAGACCCCGTCCACTTCCCTCCCTTAGAGGCAAGATTTTCCCTCAGTTTTTCATTTTTGTGTCCCTTCACTGAGGCTGCGGTCAGACGTGCCACTTAGCGTGGTTGGCAAGCATTCCTAATTTTATCTGTTGTTATTTGACACGGAGACATTCGATCAGACATCCCAGCATAATCCGTTTCGCTGCGGGCTCAGTCCGTCACTGAATGATTAGATGGTGTGGTTGGGTGAGGGTAGTGATTTCTGCTGTCTTTTGTGCATGTGCATAACCGAGGAATCAAACCCCCGCATGGAGATGTCTCCATGCAGGTTTTTTGCGCATGCACTTTTCTGCTTCCTAGAGTCAAGTCTCCACTTTGAAAGCTCACTGGTCCTTCCACAGAGCTACTTTGATCTCATTGTTTCACAGTGAGCCATGGTTGCCTGATAGAGATCACTCCCTTTCCTGTTCATTGGAGTTGCTGGCTGGGACAATTATGTGGTTATGTGCATATCACCAAGAGAGCAAAAAAAAGGCGCCAAGTTGGGATGGAATGATCAGACCATCCTGATGGCTTGAGAGTGTGCTTGACTGATCAAACTATGGAAAATCCATCTGTGGCCTGTTTGCAAGTGTTAGGACTGGACTTTCCCTGGTGTCTTTTAACTCCATTTCAGGGGTGGGGAAGAATGGGCTGCCAACAACTGTGGAAACTTTCACAGATGTTGCTGTCTGAATGTGCTCTTTAGATCCATTAGGCATGAGCAGCTATATTGGATCTAAACACAGGTTTGACAGCACCCTGACTGGGCAGCCCTGGTAACCTGTATTAATCTCTTTAGAGTAACTTTAGCAGTCCCACCCCGAGTCAGTAATATGTAATGGCTATTTTCTCAGCTCAGGACCTATGGGAAGGGTTAGGATCTCCCTTTAACTTAAATAACAGAAAATGGCACTTCAGATGCTTTTAAAATTCAAAAATAACAGAATGTTTTATTTTGCATCAAGGGGAAAGGTTAAGTGAAGCCAGGGGTTGAAAATATGAAGGTAAAATAGTATAAGCAAAAATTCTTATACTTGTATTTCAGGCTAGTGAGAGTTTCTTGAATTATTCAGGCCCCGGTCACACCGGCCGGATAACATTGGGGGGAGGCGTGGCTTATTGCTCCGGTGCAATTAGAGCCGCCAGAACGTGATCCAATGCATCGGCGGCAAACCACGGGTCCTGTCCGCCCCACCTGCGCATTAACGAGGGGCTGGAGGGAAACGCAGTGTGCCGGCGCGATCACACCACAGGAGT